TCCCCTACCTGGTGAAAGAAATAGACTTCCAAGCCCAGGAAGCGCAGAGAACCCCAAACAAAAGGAATCCAAAGAGGACCACACCAAGACACATCATAATTAAAATGCCAAGAGCAAAAGACAAAGAGAGAATCTTAAAAGCAGCAAGAGAAAGACAGTCAGTTACCTACAAGGGAGTACCCATACGAATGTCAGCTGATTTCTCAACAGAAACTTTGCAGGCCAGAAGGGAGTGGCAAGAAATATTCAAAGTGATGAATGCCAAGAACCTACAACCAAGACTACTTTATCCAGCAAAGCTATCATTCAGAAGTGAAGGTCAGATAAAGAGCTTCACAGATAAGAAAAAGCTAAAGGAGTTCATCACCACCAAACCAGTATTATATGAAATGCTGAAAGGTATCCTTTAAGAAGAGAAAGAAGAAGAAAAAGGTAAAGATACAAATTATGAACAACAAATACACATCTATCAACAAGTGAATCTAAAAATCAAGTGAATAAATAATCTGATGAACAGTATGAACTGGTGATTGTAATAGAATCAGGACATAGAAAGGGAATGGACTGACTATTTTTTGGGGGGGAAGGGGTGTGGGGGATGCGGGAAGAGATTGGACAATAATCGTGCACCTATGGATGAGGACAGTGGGTAGGGAGTGAGGGCGGAGGGTGGGGTGGGAACTGGGTGAAGGGGAGTTATGGTGGGGAAAAAAGAGGAACCAATGTAATAATCTGAACAATAAAGATTTAATTAAAAAAAAAAAGTGATCTGAACAGGGAGCACTTGAAGCATTTTCACTAGTAATGGGATTAAATACCAAGGAGCAGCAGCAGGCTCAGGATTATGGTGCTAGTGGGCACGGGGAGCAGCTGCCGAAGGACAGAACCAAGTGAGAAAGACTCGGCCAGGTGATGTCCCCAGCCTGTCACCTGCCCCAGGACAGGCACTGTGGGCTCTTACGGAGTAACTGAGTCTGGGCGAGGCTGGGTGTGGCCCAACAGCATGGCGCTCCTCTTCACCAGGGCTGGTCTAGCTATTGCGTCACCGAATGTTCAACCTTCCAACACAGACCAAGCGCTCGGTCCCAGTGGCATCACCCTTTGAGGAAAAAGTCACTTGCTGGCAAGGTGATAGCACTGAGCCCCTTGTGCCCCCAAAGGCGCAGAGGTTGGTCTTGACCGGAATGGACACGTGTTTCAGGCCTGGGCTTGCAGGGCCTCTGTGAGCTCTGGTATCGGCTCCAGACTGTCTGGTCCACAGACACAGACTCCGCTTAGCAGCACGTTAGATATGGGGACCCGCTTTACAGGGGAGGGGCTGAGTGGGCATGGTCATGGGACACACGCTCCCTCACAGCTACACACCATGAACACCACTCCAGTGGAGCGGTGAGTGGCCTGTAGCAGGCACAGCTCGGGTGCCAGCCTGGGGATGACGCCTCTCAGAGATGGCGCAGGACCCTCCCGGGTGCAGTGGACACAGTACATCACTGGCCACGACGGTGCATTGTCTCCCATGTGTACAATTACGGGGTCGGAACCAAAAGGTGGAAGTAGGAGTGGCCCTGCGTACCAACAGTCTGGGTCCTACAGGTTGTCCTGACTCTCCGAGGGGCAGCCCACCAGTGGCACAAGAAGGGTACCACTCCATTCCAAGGTCCAGCTGCCACCCGGTCATTCCAAGTTCCTTATGTGAAGAGCCTGGCAGGCAAGGAATGCCATCTCCATCCTGCTCCGGAAGGACCTGGTCATGTTAGGGCTGCTGTTACTAGTATATGATGGGGGCAGGGAAGCATGTACTTGGCACCAAGGTGAAAAGATTGGCCACCTCGGTCCCCTGCCCACATTTCACAGCACACGTCGGCCCTGGCCTGAGGAAGGCATGGTGACCACGGGCTCACTCTCGGGTGAGGGGTTGGTCACTCGTCAGTAAGGTACCTAGGCCACCAGAGGTGCTCGGCCAGGGTGAGGGGCCTTCGTATGGTTGCAGGAGAGGGAGACGAATGGCATTTGCAGCTTGGAGGCGAGCTGCAGTGCTGCTGCCCTTCCTTTTAAAAGTTTCCCCAGGAAGAGGCACAGAATCCGGAAGAAGCAGCTCAGAATGATCTGAAGCCAGTGGCCGAGTGTGGGACTAGTGTGGTGGCGCCAGGGGTGCCCAGAGCTAGGTCCTTGCTGGTAGGCTGCTCACACAGCGCCTCCTGCTGACCGCCTCAGCTGCAGAGAAACTGCTTGGCCCAAGGACACAGGGCTTTCCCAGGAGGAAACAATCCAGTGACTGGTGGGTGCTGAGGATGAGGCCCAGCTCCCTAACCCAACAGGGGACAGCTCTGCAGGGCCACGTCAGCTCCCTGTGTAGCGACGGCACCTTCACTCGCCTGCAGATGTCGGTGCTGAGAGCGCTTCCCAGGAACCTTTCTGAACAGAAACTCCTCTTCTAGATGGCCACTGGGGGCAACACCTGGGCAGTGCATGCGTGTAACGTGTGCACAAATGGGGAGGTTTGGTCACTCACTTTAAAAATGGGATCACATTTTCACTGATTTCTGCATCTCCAAGTCAACTGATACTGCTTCAAGCCATTCTCTCAATGGCTATGTGCTCAGAGTGTGGACGTTACATAATTGATTCATCGACCTCCCTCCTGACTGGCATCAGTCCTTTGCCATAAAGCAATTCTGCCATAAACATTTTGATCTAAAATATTTACTGTTGCATATATTTCTGTGAAACAGCCAGGAGTGAGGTTGTTTGGTTAGATGATTTATATATTTATATGTTTTGTCTGTTTTTTAAATTGAGGTTACACACACACGCACACCAACACACACACCTCATCTATCCTAGGGTTATAGCTCAAAATTTCACAAACTGAACACCCCTGTATCCTTCACCCAAAAAGCAAGAAATAGCCCTAACCGGTTTGGCTCAGTGGATAGAGCGTAGGCCTGCGGACTGAAAGGTCCCAGGTTCGATTCCAGTCAAGGGCATGTACCTTGGTTGCGGGCACATCCCCAGTGGGAGGTGTACAGGAGGCAGCTGATCGATGTTTCTCGCTCATTGATGTTTCTAACTCTCTATCCCTCTCCCTTCCTCTCTGTAAAAAAAAATCAATAAAATATATTAAAAAAAAAAAGCAAGAAATAGCACGTCATTGGCCCAAGAGGCCCATCTTTGCTCTCTTGGGATCAGTCCATTTTTTCCCAACTCCTAAAGGTGCTGCATATATTTTTTATTTTAATAAGTGTTGGCAGTTTGCTTTCCAAAAAGATTCTAACTACAGCAGGTCCTCAACATTTTTTGTCATCACTTTGATGCGGCGCCATAGGAACTTAACTCTTGTCTATCGCGATTAGTTGGTGGTACAGTTGGTTTTGTTATACAGCATCTGGCTTAAAGTCACAGAACCGATTGATGATATTAAGTGAGGACTTACTGTAGCCACATTTTTACCAGCAATGCATGAAACTACCTATCCCCATCCATCTCCAATTACATTGGTTTTCATTTTCCTGGCTGCTCATGAGTTTGAGCATTATATCCTGTTTGTTTGCTTTGGGGGATTTGCTATTTTGTATATTGCCTTTCCTACCTTTTACTCCTTTTTCTTTTAAGTTGTTGGTCTTTTTCGTCCAGGTGTAAGCCTTGTTGTAGAATGCAGGTATTAATCCTTTGTCGTTTTTGTCCCAAGTAGTTTTCCCAATGTATTATTTTCTTTTCGAAGTGGTGCTGGTTGTACCACCCCTATTTCTTAATGTGTCCTTTGCTACTTAATTAAAACACCATCTTTGTTGTATATTAAAGTCTCGTAAGTCTTGGGGTCAGTTTCTGGATTTTTTCTAGAGATCTCTTCTTCTATTCCTATTCAAATACCATATAGATTTGATTATAGTGGCTTTATAGTATATTCTGGTAATCTGGCAAGGCAAGTCTTTCATTTTTGTGACTTGTCTATTTTCAGATATTTAACATTTCATTATTTTTTCAATTAAAAGAGCCCTGTAAGGTCTCTGATTGACTCTGCATTAAGTTGGTGTTTGGAAGAATTAAACATTTTGCATATATCCCAATGCTATGTCTTTCCATTTGTATAGATCTTGTGTTATGCCATTTCATAAGATTTTAAGGTGTGTTTTTTAAAAAGGTCTTTTTCAAAAATATATTTTTATTGATTTCAGAGAAGAAGGGAGAGGGAGAGAGAGATAGAAACATCAATGATGAGAGAGAATCATTGATTGGCTGCCTCCTGCATGTCCCCTACTGGGGATCGAGCTCACAACTTGGGCTTGTGCCCTGACGGAGAATTGAACCGTGACCTCCTGGTTCATAGGTCGATGCTCAATCACTGAGCCATGGGCAAGGTTTTAAGTTTTAATCTTTTAGTGCCTAGTCCCTTTCTTGTAAACTTATCCTAAATATAACTTTTTTTTTGGTAAGTGAAAGTGTTCCCTTCATTTGCATTTCTTGGTCGTTATCTATCATTGCCACAGAGGCAGCGTACATCACAGTGGTTATGAGCACAGACTCCTGAGTCATGTTGCCTGGGGGTGGATTCAGATTCTAACACTGATCAGCCCAGGCTTATTAAAATGAAAGAAAGCTAAATTTACATCAGAAGTTTGTAGTAATGATGTTTTACTGAATCTCTCATTGTTCCATTGCAATACTATTCAGTCTAAGAATTTCCTCAAACCTTTAATACTTATTAGGTTTCTTATAAGGGTTTTCAGAATCAAGTATTCAAATATAAATGCCAGGTAGTAATTTTTAATAAACATTTCACGATTACATGAATCTGCCTCCAGTTAATTTAAAGATACTTTACATAAAAATGTTCCTTACAATGGTACTAGTCATTTTGATTGTGAATTTTATTATGTTGTTTTAAGTAAATAATGAGTAAATAGCACAACTGTAGAGACTATTTTCAATATTCACTGATTATGTGACTTAGATTTCAGTGATTCGTTAATGCCTCGTGTTTCTTTTTTGTGTTTTTAAAGCTGCAGAAGTGGTAAACAAACCCAGTGTTAAGTATTCAGTACTACCTGAAGATGGGAAGAATCAAGCACTAGAAAAAATGGTAAGTCATTGCAAATGTGAATAATTATAACAGATAACCTTCACTTATGGAACAAATATTTGTTAAGTGTCTACTATATGCTAGGCACCGTGGATACAATGGTTTGTTTTTAAACATATTTTTATTCATCTCAGAGAGGAAGGGAGAGGGCGAGAGAGAGATAGAAACATCAATGATGAGGGAGAACCATTGATCGGCTGTCTCCTGCATGCTCCACAATGGGATCGAACCTGCAACCCAGGCATGTGCCCTGACTGGGAATCAGACCGTGACTTTCTGGTTCATAGGTTGATGCTCAACCACTGAGGCACTGCAGCCGGGCAATACAATGGTTTTTAAAAGTGGGGGGGGGGGGGATTGTTCTTCAGGAGCTTTTGGGTTAATTCATATGAGGGGAAGAGGAAGACAGAAGTATGAAGGGTTTCTATGACAAGGTGTGTTAAGTGTCACGAGGGAAGTCAGTTCCAAACAGCAGGAGAGACTTCTAACCCAGGCTTTGTGCTATTCCAGTTGGCTTTTTCTGGGTGGTATGAAGAGAAGTCTGGGATGTCTTTCTTTTAATTATGAAAATTATACCTGAGTTGATATCTAAAGTGTGATTAGGAGATGGTCAGCCATTAGAGAGTTGGGGAAGGACTCTGAGAACGCTTTTCAGGTAAAGGGAAGAGAGCTTGAAACTTTTGGATAGTGGAAATAAAGAGAAGTTCAGAAAGGAACGGGCATAAAATTCACAGTAGGGGCATTACATGGTTTGGGCTTGAGGAGAGAGAGAGAAGAGGCCATATCACTAAAGGCCTCGTCTATGATACAGGTGGAGGCCACACAGTGGTTAAAGGAACGAACTGTGAAGCCAACTACTGTGTTCAAATCCCAGGCCAACTTGATGTAATCTCAACTCCCTGTAGTTAAATAGGACCCGTCCCTGATAATTTGCCCGGAAGTAGAGGGAGAGACGCCTTTGACAGAAAACGGATTAGTAAGGGAGTGGAGGTGCTCTCTCCACGGTGTTCAAACTGTGCTTCTTGGATCCCGGAGGCAGAGGTCCTCAAACATTTTTGTGTCCTTTCTCTCTAAAGAATTTTGAAAAGACATGGACCTTCTGCCATTTCTAAGTTGACATTTAAAAGGTTCATCACAAAATTTGTAAGTTTCATAGGGTATGATTTCTGGTGTATTGATAATATTGACATTTTTAAAACTGTATGTCGTTGTCTAGAATATATCCACTAAAATCTAAATACTTACTATACCCTGGTAACTTATCACCCATAATCATCCCTTTAAGAAAATACTTCAGCAAGACATTCTTCAACAATCTGAATTTTTTATACTTTCCTTTTCTCCATAAATGCCTTTAAAAAAATTTTTTCTATTGATTTTTAGAGAGAGAAGAAGGGAGAGAGATAGAGAGATAGAAACATGAATGAGAAAGAAACATCATAGATTGGCTGCCTACTGCACACCCCGCACTGGGGATCAAGTCCTGACCGGGAATCGAATGGTGACCTCTTGGTTCCTGGGTCGATGTTCAGCCACTGACCCACACCGGCTGGGCTGCACTCCTTTTTTTGTATACACCTCCACAGATTTATAATGTAATATAATGTTAAGCTTGAAAATCTTTTCTTGAAAACTTCATAATACTTCTCTACTATAAAAATGAGTATAAATTAAAATTTTCTGTGATCCTATTACCAAGTGTTAAAAAGTTTTCTTTCAAAATTATTTAAAAGTACTATTAGTATATAGTTATTTAAAACAACATAAATATATCATAAAACCTAAAAAATAAACATTAAAATAACATTTTATTGTACATGAATCCCATAATGAAATGGATAGGCATAGATCCCCCTCCCCCTCAGTTGGTCTGTGATTCTTTGAATGGACATCACATACTGCTAGATCGAGGCAGAGTCTTGCTGCTGAGCCATATTTTAAATAAATTTTCAGTAGATAGATTAACATATCAAATAGTTGTGGCAGTTTCAGTTTCTCTATAAAGACCTTTACTTGGAAGTTGTGAATTTTTAAAAAAATATATTTTATTGATTTTTTTACAGAGAGGAAGGGAGAGGGATAGAGAGTTAGCAACATCAATGAGAGAGAAACATCGATCAGCTGCCTCCTGCACACTTCCTACTGGGGATGTGCCCGCAACCAAGGTACATGCCCTTCACCGGAATCGAGCCTGGGACCCTTGAGTCTGCAGGTCGACACTCTATCCACTGAGCCAAACCGGTTAGGGCGGAAGTTGTGAATTTTTAACCTTCAGTCTTCTGCACATCTGAACTTACTCCCGTCCATGGCTTCTCTGGTCACTTGCACGAGTCCCGCACAGGCTGTGGTTGCAGACTTTTTGAGCTCCCACCTGGTCCCGCCTGTGACTCACACATGTGCTCCTGCCTGGGTTGAAAGGGTGTCCGCTCTGGAAGACACTATGTCATTCACTAGACAGCTGGATCTAGATAATGCGAAGCTGTGTTCCCACTTCACTTTAGATGCGCTTTATAGATCTCTGTCTTACAGAGCCATATGCTAATGAAATGTTTTCCACTTTTCCATAGGATCTTAATTCTTTCACAAGCCAGACACCAAGTGCTTCCCTCAGACTCTCTCAGTCCTCCAGTATCAGACTCACAGATCAGCTGTTTACTGAGCAAAGACAGAACATCAGCTCACAGGCTCCTTCCAGCTGTCCAACTCCACAGTGTAACCAAGCGGCTTCAGTTCTACAGGAGAAGGAACATAAAAGAAAACACTTCCTAAAACAATATATAAATAATGAAAATAAAGAAAGCATGAATCTTAAAAGAAAACATATTACGTGTCATAATTCACCAGAGAAAACGAGTAAACATATGGCATTGAAAGAAGATGCTGAGGAGGCGGAAGCCGCCCTGAATTCCGGGAACTCAGGGGCATTCAGAAACCAGTTCTGTGACATCAGGCATTTGGATGATTTGGAGAAAAGCCAGCTGATTGAAATGCTCAGACAGGCAGTATCCCTGGTGGTAACTCTGATGTACAAGGATGGTTCAACCCAGCTAAGAGCTGACCAGGTTAGTAAACTGTGGCTTTTGTTTGTTTTGTTTTTCTGGCACCAAAAGAGAAACCCATGTTTCTAGTGTCTGATTATAATGGGAGAGCTAGAAATAAGATTTTAAGCCTTCCCTTCTCCCCATTGGTAAGCTATTGATAATGCGTAGTGTTTTTTAAAATACATTTTTATTGATTTCAGAGAGGGAAGGGGGGAGAAAGAGAGAGAGAGAGAGAGAGAGAGAGAGAAACATCAACGATGAAAGAGAATCATTGATCAGAATTGAACCCAGGACCCTTCAGTCCACAGGCCGACACTCTATCCACTGAGCTAAACTGGCTAAGGCCGTCTTTTATTATTTTAGTCATTTGAGTGGATGTGACATGGTGTTTCATTTTGGTTTTAAATGGTATTTCCCTAATATATGATGACATTGAGCATCTTCTCATGTGCTGATTGGACATTTGTACATCTTCTTTGGTAAATGGTCCATTCAAATCTTTTGCTCATTTTTTAAAATGAAAAGTTTTTAATGTTAACTATTGTAGAGGCCCCCGAATTTTCACCCCTTTTCCCACCTCCACCCACCTCCGCCTCCCCTTGCCTTGGCCTTCACCACACTTTTGTCCATGTCCGTGGGGTATGCATATATGCTCTTTAGCCAATCTCTTCACCTTCTTTATCCAGTCATCCCCACACCCCTCCCCTCTGGAACCTGCCAGTATGTTCCATGTTTCCATGCTTCTGGTTCCATTTTGTTCGTCAGTTTATTCTGTTCATTAGATTCCACATATTAATGATATCATATGGTATTTGTCTTTCTTTGACTGACTTATTTTACTTAGCATAATACTATCTAGGTCTATCCATGCTATTGCAAAGAGTAAGAGTTCCTTCTTTTTTATAATCACACTAGAGCAGTGGTTCTCAACCTTCCTAATTCCGCGACCCTTTAATACAGTTCCTCATGTTATGGTGACCCTCAACCATAAAATTATTTTCATTGCTACTTCATAACTGTAGTTTTGCTACTGTTATGAATCGTAATGTAAATATCTGATATGCAGGATGTATTTTCATTGTTACAAATTGAACATAATTAAAGCATAGTTATTAATCACAAAAACAATATGTAATTATATATGTCTTTTCCGATGGTCTTAGACGACCCCTGTGAAAGGGTCATTCGATCCCCAAAGGGGTCACGACCCACAGGTTGAGAACTGCTGCACTAGAGGCTGGTGCAGGAAATTCGTGCACAGGTAGGGTCCCTAGGCCTGGCTGGCGATCAGGGCAGATCTGTAGGTTGACTGGCGGGGTGATCGGGGCTCCCACTCACACCCACCTTGGCCTAGCGCTGCCTGCTCGCTGGCCCCTCCCCTCGCCACCGCCGCCAGTCGCCTCCTTCTAGGGTGACCAGCGGGGCGATGTGGCGGGGGGGGGGGGGCCTCCCGCTTGCACCTGCCTTGGCTGTTCCGGCGTTGCCCCCCCCCCCCCCCCGCCACCAACGCTCCTGCATTGAGCGTCTGCCCCCTAGTGGTCAGTGCACGTCATAGCGACTGGTCATTCCACTGTTTGGTTGATTTGCATATTAGGGTTTTATATAGATAGAAGATAGTATTCCATGGTTTAAGTATACCACAACTTTTGTTTCCACTCATCTGCTGATGGGCACTTGGGCTGTTTCCAGATCTTGGCTATTGTAAATAATGCTGCTATGAGCATAGGGATGTAATTTTCTTCATGTTTCTTGTACTTGGGGTTTATTGATCTTCTTGGTTCTACAGATTAACCTGGGAAAATTGACATTCAGTTTTTGGTACTCCAGGTGGGACATGAATGACATTCTTATTATTTTGGGTTTTGTAATCCTTGAGCATGGTATGTCTCTCAGTTACTTAGGTCTTCTCTGATTTCTTTCACCAGTGTTTTGTGGCTTTCAGCATATACATCCTGTATATTATGATGATTCCTAAGTATTTCATTTTTTAGAATAGTTATTAAAAACGATATTTTTTTTACAAGTTCAGTTTTACATGTTTATTTTTTTTAATCTTTATTTTTGAGCTTATTATAGATGAACATGTTGTTGTTAGTGTATCAGAATGCAATTGGTTTTATTGTTTTGATCTTGTATCCTGCAACCTTGGTAAGTTTTTCTGTAGATTCCTTTGGGTTTTCTATGCAGACAGTTGTATCGTCTGTAAATAGAGACAGTATAATTCTCCCTTTCTGATTTATATGTCTTTTATTTCTTTCCTGTTGTATCCTTAGCACTGGCTAAGACTTCTGTTTTGATGGTGAATAGGAAGGAGACTAGATTTGGAGAGTAAGATGGGTCTGGTTTCTGGCCTTGATTGTTATTAAAGAGCTGTTCATTGACAAATTTAACTTTAGGCCTTTTCTGTCTTTTTAAAAAATATATATTTTATTGATTTTTACAGAGAGGAAAGGAGAGGGATAGAGAGTTAGAAACATCGATGAGAGAGAAACATCGATCAGCTGCCTCCTGCACATTCCCTACTGGGGACATGCCCACAACCCAGGTACATGCCCTTGACTGGAATCGAACATGGGACCCTTGAGTCCGCAGGCCGATGCTCTATCCGCTGAGCCACACCAGTTAGGGCCCTTTTCTGTCTTTTTAATGAGAAAATATGACATATCTTTCTTGAATAAACATATTGTCTATGTTTAATATTGAAACTTTATTTCATTGTCTATTCACAGGCTCTAGTTTCCTCTGTGAAAGGAATTGTGATGTTGCTACAGAGCCACGCAGAAGGCTGCGGTCCTGCGGCTGCCTCAGCCCCTGGCCGTGTTCTGGAGGCAGGAGTCAGACCCAGCGATCGGTGCATCTACATAGAAACGGTGCAGTCTGCTGTTTGCAGCCAAGAACAAGAAGCACAGAATCAATTTGCCAGGCAAGAAAATCTTCCTCATTCTCCTGAAGTCTGCGTACCTGCCTGATTTATCCCGATTTAAAGTTTCCCAAGCTTCAACTGTAATTGTTTAAACTTTTAGACGTTTCATATGGGCCCAGGAAAATAAAATGGATCTAAAAGACAGAAACCTCTAACACTGGTCCCCCCCCCCCGCCCCCACAAAGGGTGTCTGTGGGGACCTGCTCCAGGACTTGAATCAACATCTCAATGAGAAGTTGGTGAGAAAACCATCATCCCAGGCCAAACCCCTGTCACTGCCCAAGTCCCAGGTGCTTCTCCTCGTCACACTGGTCATTGACTCAGTGACAGTATCAGAAAGTGAGGTTGTCACTCCTTCAAACAGCAAACTGTCCTCAATGCCACCAAGATACTGCTCATTTCAAAGCTTCTTTCTGAGGAAGTAGGCAGGACAGTGTCACACGCACCTGCCTTCTCAGTGTCTAGAATGCTCCCACAGGAGGGCTTCTGTGCTCCTCGGTCCTGAGAATCCTGCTGTGGCTTGGAGCCTGTGCCCCTCCTCCCGTTTCTTCCCTGGTGGCGTCAGCCTGGCTGGGGCTTCCACCTTGGGTGGGCACTTGCCCTTCCTGTGTGCCCAGGCCTCTGGGTTCAGGCCAGTTAGCGGCCCCGAGGGAGCTCCTTGAAGCTGCTGCCCTGACCAGGAGCTCCCGGAGGCTCAGGGTGAGCGGTGGGGCCTAGGCCTGGCCCTTCATCTCACCAGTTTCATTGGCTCCGGTGAGTTTTAGGTCATGGCTGTGAGTCCCAGCCTGTGGGTAGGGATGCGCTCTGCCAGGAATGTTAGAGGCGCTCCCCGCAGCCTGTATGACGGTGGCGGGGGGGGGGGGGGGTGGCCTCCACAGACATTTCCCCACAGGCCCGACATGGAGGCTGGACCGGCTCCTGTGGTTCTTGCTGTGATCACAGGACGCCCTTCTGCAAACAGCAGCAGGAAACTGTGAGGAAGAATATGTATTATTCATGGTCCTGGAGGGAACACGGCGAGGCTGTGTGTGAGGGAGAGAGCGTGGACCTGGGCTCTGCCTTGCTTCCCATCTGAGGGGGGTGCCTAGGGTTTCGAGGGCTTACTCTTTATTGGCTAATGGACGCCTAAGAGTGGGAGTCAGGGCACAGGAAGGGAAAAGCAGGGTCACTCATGCGGTCAGTTATCTAGGTTGCCCAGGGCTTTCTGCGCGAGGGACCTTCGTGGGTGGGGGTGGCCTAGATCCTTGTGGCTGGTTCGCTAGGAGCTGTGGCGTACGGCTGGCATCACGTCTGTTCATGATGGAGGTCTTTGAAAATGGATACCATGCGATCAAAAGCTAATGTCAGGCACTTACACGACAGTAATTTTTGGTGAGAATGGGACAATGACAGATACAGCACTCTGCTCCCAAGAAACCTATAACCTGCCTTTATGTAATTTCCTTTCGGAAGGGCCATCAGTCAGGTCTGTCCTGTGGAAGGCCTCTGTGCGGATACAGCCCTGTATTTGCATGGCCTCTTCTGAATTCTGGGTTTTGTATCCTACGTGACACTCTCCATTGGACATCTAACAGTCACTTCGGCCTGAACATGTGCAGCACTGACCTCCTGTCTCCCTGAAACCTGCCTCCCCCGGCTGCTCTCTTCCTGGTTCGTGGCCGCATTAGCCCTCCGTGGGTTCAGGCAGCAGTCTTGGCATCATCTTTAATGTCTCTCTACGTCTAATCTCAGTGAATCCATTGGCTCTGCCTTCAAAATAGCTAGACTCAGCCCTCTCCCCCTGCTGCGGCCGCGGTGCAGGCCCTGCCTCCTGACCGAGTCCCAGTGAGAGCTTCAGCTGGTCTCCTGCCTCCCCCGTCTTCAGTCTGTTTAGCACAGCACCCGGAGAGGCCCTGTCCACACAGAAACCAGCCACGCCACCGCCCGCTCCACACCCTCCCACAGCTCCTGGTCGCTCTGAGGAAAAGCCAGAGTTCCCCAAGAGCCTGCAGCTGCTCCACTGCCTTGGCCTCATCCCCTCTCCCCGCTGTCCCTGTACCCACCTCCTTGCTGCTCCCGAGCTCGGGGAGCCTCTGCCCACAGCCTCTGCCAGCTGCTCCTCTCCTGCATCGTTCTCCCAGATCGCTGCACAACTGGCCGCCTCGTTCCTTTATGTTTTTTTAAACCAAGAAAGCAAATTATGAAAATGCAAAAGTAGAGAGAATAATATGACGCCCATATCCCATTCTCCCAGGCCAGTTATCCAAACAGAAGGGGAGGGGTACGGGGCTGGGATTAAGGAAAACACCAGACATGTCATTTGTGTCACATGTCTCAGGATGCAGCTCTAAAAACATGGGCTCTTGCCCTAGCTGGTTCGGCTCAGTGGTTAGAGCGTAAACCCTTAGGCTTTAGGGTTGTGGGTTCGATTCCAGTCAAGGGCATGTACCTCGGTTGCAGGCTCAATCCCCAGCCCTGGTCAGAGCACATGTGGGAGGCAACTAATCGATGTGTCTCTCTCACATCAATGTTTCTCTCTGTCTGTCTCTCCCCCTCCCTTTTACTCTCTCTAAAAACCAATGAAAAAAATATCCTCAGGTGAAGATTAACAGGAAAAAAAATAATAAAAACATGGGCTTTAAAAAAAATCTTTCTTGTTGAAAGTATTACATATGCCCCCTTTTTCTTCCTTACAGCCTGCCCCACCCCTGCCCCTGGCCTCCACCACCCCATCGTTGGTGTCCGTGGGTTATGTATATGTGCACACACGTTCTTCGGTTGTTCTCAGAGGGAAGATCCACCCACACACTCACCCCCCACCCCCACCCCCACCCCCGCCTTCACGCTGAGATTCTAGTCTGCTCCATACTTCTGTGTCTCGGGATCTGGGGCGTTAAAGTCCCCTAGTATGACTGTTGTTGTCGATCTCTCTCCTAAGGTCCTCCATAAGTCTTTATATATTTAAGGGCTCCTGTATTGGGTGCCTATGTGTTTACAGGGTTATATCCTCTTGTTGGGTCGATCCCTTTAATATTATGTAGTGACCTTACTGTCTCTTGTGATGGCCTTCATTTCGAAGTCTATTTAGTCAGATACGAGTATTGCCATCCCAGCTTTTTTTCGTTTCCATTTGCATGGGAAATTTTTTCCATCTCTTCATTCTCATCCTGTGTGAGTCGCTTGTTCTGAGGTGGGTCTCTTATAGACAGCATATAGTTGGGTCATGTTTTTGTATCCATTCAGCTACCCTATGTCTTTTGATTGGATTATTTAATCCATTTACATTTAAGGTTATTATTAATAAGTACTTATTGCCATTTTAATTCTGTATGCCTAATAAATATTTAATCAATGTTATTAATTAATGAATGAGTATTGAGTTTAAATTTTTGTAAGGTCCAGGACAATTATATGAAAACATTGCCTTAAATACCATACAGTGGAATGATCCCAAGTCTTCGACATTTTAAAAAATGTTTGCATAATACAAATTTAATAACATTTATTAAATACCCGTGCAAGATCTTTTCGCATGCATGCTCTCTCTTACTCTTAATATTAACTGTATGTGTTAGGGCTTATTATTTCCATTTTATAGATGAGGAAACTGAGACTGAGAGGTAGTCAGAGATCAGTCTTGAGATTTCAGTTCAAGCCTTCATTTTTACACTCAGTGCTAGCCTTTTCATATCCTAGCTGCCTTTTCGTTTTGCAGGTGTGACGTAGCCCACCTATATAACCGACTTATGAAACACACTGTTTTAGCCACTTTGCTTACAGGGTATTCCTTTAGTTGTTTGTCTTATAGGATAGAAATCTGCGAGCCGGCATCTCACCAGTGGGGCTGTTGTAGTCAGTAGATGCCCCTCCAAGGACGTGCGAGTGCCCAGGGTGTGGGAGCATCCGCGGGAAAGGAAGCTCCTGGGCCAGCCCTGCTCCCTGTGCGCTGTCTCCCCTCTCCCGCTCTCCTCCTGGGCACCCCTCCCAAGTCCCACGGAGCCAGGCCTGGGCTGTTGGCACTTTGCCCTCCCTACCACCCTGGCCTCCCTCTTGAAGAGAAACCAGGTGAAATGCAAAGAAAATGCAAAAAGCCTCGAAGTGTCTGTCTGCGAGGCCAGCCAAGCGAAGTGTAAATACAGGTTGGCTTAGCGTGCAGAGCTGTTGAGCTCGGGTTTCTGTCTCCCTCAGCCTATCCGAAGGCCCTCACTACTGGCTGGTGCGCAGTTAGCTACCCGAAGGGAGGCTGCAGCCTGGGCCGGGCGCAGCCACACCGGGTCCCAGACCTCAGCTTGGCCACTTGCCAGATGTGTAACGCTGGGCAAATGGCTGACCCTCTCTGGGCCTCAGTGTCCTTGTCTGTAAGTGCCGTAGGCCTGCCTGAGGGCCTGTGGGGAGGTTTCAGTGCAGCAGCCCCTCTCAAGTGTGTAGCGTGCCATCTGCGCATGGAAAGTGCTCGATAAACCAGCGCTGTTAGCAGCCGCCTGTTCGGGAGCTCGTGATGTGACGGGGGAGCGTTTCCGGGCGCGCTGCTGTGTCCCCGCTGCAGCCGCTGGGTGGGCAGGAGCGGAGAAGGGGCACAGGGGCGGCTCCCTGCGGGGAAGCTGGCCAGACCCTCCAGGAGCAGCGTGAGCAGCTTGCAGAAGTGGGAGGAGGATTTTAGGCAAGAGCACAGCATGAGCAGTGGCTCGAGTGTGAGAGGACGCGGCAGAGTCTGGCGATGGAGGACAGAGGACTCCGTGTGAGCCGAGGGAGAGTGTTTGGGGGGGGGGGTGCTGGGGGCGTGGGCTGGGCAGTCCTGTTGGGCCCGCTGTAAGGAGCCCAGAGTATGTGTGCTCTGCTCGGGAATTTGGGTCTTTGTCTGTGGGTAATGGGGCTTCGCCTGAACTGCTATGTCCCCTTGGCTCATTCCTTAGCCTCTCTGTGTCTCAGCTTCCTCACCTATAAAACGCAGTTAAGAGGTCATACCTGTTAGGTTAGGTGGCTCAGGAGGCGGCGCAAGAAATAGAGTCCAGTGAATCAGAAAAGAAAGGAAAGGAAAGTTTATTCTGCGTCCCCGGGAGACCCACGTACCCCCAAAGACAGGGCACGTGGATTCACGCCAACATGGAGGGGGGCGCTTTTTTTATACTGCGGTTGGGTGAGGGGCGGGGACATGAGCTGAGGTATTCAGTTGAGGAGGCTTCAGCTGCAGGGGAGTATGTGGATTCAGGGAGAAGAAGCAGGTATCTGTGTCTGGCACGTTGACCTGTGAGAAATCCCAGGTCTGTGAGAAATTCCAGAGGAAGTCCATTGTCTCATCCCATGTCTGCATGTATCTGATCCTGGGCTCTCTCCGACCTAACAATACCTACCTCACAGGATAACGGAGTCTATGTGAGTGATAGCTGTCAGTGGAGTAGTACTAATATTTTTTTCAGGGTAAAAGTTCTTAATCAGTGTCTAAGTCAGTGAATGTCTTTTCATCTTCTAGGAACGTGCTGTTTCAGATCCTGAAATGTACCTGCCCTGTGATTTGTTTCAATGCTAAGGATTTTGTGAGAACCGTGCTGCAGTATTTGGGTGATGATGGCAGTTGGAAGCACGGTAAGTTATGGCTGATGGGTGGGGAGGACGGGAGCCTCAGGACCCGGGATTGGCGCTTGAAGCGGGAACAGTCTCGTGGGGCTGAGCCCTGAATCTGCGGGGTGAGCACCAACTCCGCAGTGTCCGGGCTGAGGTGCCCACCGAGAGCTGGAGGAGTTGGTGCGGAAACCCACACGCTGGTCAGGGCGCTGTGGAAACAGCAGGCCCCCCTCATCAACAATCACCACGCCTCCCGCCTTCTCTCCTCTCACGGCCCACCCTGCCTACGCCCGCCCTAGGTTATTGCATATGGGACCCCAAGCATGATGCAGATTGCCTGCAATAGTTCAGCATGTGAGCGAGATACGAGGATGTCATTTCTAAGATGATGCCATCACTGTTATCTCCCCCACATACTAGCAATAATCTTTTAATATCATTAGACGTTCAGGCAGTGTTTGCACTTTCCAGTTGTCTTTAAATACTTTTGTCTGTTTGTCTTTGTTTTACAGTTTGTTTGAATTAGGAGCCATACCTGGGATAGGTGCAATATGTTTCTTAAGTCTCTTCTGCTCCATATGTTCTCTTCTCTGTTTTAGATCCTTGCAGTTATTTTGTTGTTGTTGATGGAACCAGCTTGCTTGTCCTGGGGATTTCCCACAGTCTGGACTTGGCAATTGCATCCCCTTCTTGCCAATTAACATGCTCCCCTCTCGGCTCTCTTTCTTATAAATTGGCAGCTAGATCCAGAGGCTGGGTCGGATTCTCGCTGGATTTCTGGAGGGCAAGGCTGCTGCATAACGCAGAGCTTGACCGGACCCTGACCCTGACTCTAACCCTGACCTCTGTAGTGGTGTGTCCTATCAGGAGCTACATCCTGGTGGTGGTTCATCTTTCTTGTGATGTTTGAACTCCTATTCATATGTTAACTCTTCTTGTCTATCTTTCATATTTACCACTTTATCTAGAATCTATTTTCAATCTCTTTATTTCTTTTTTATTTAAAAAATTCCTCTTTTCCATTTTTTTAACTTAAGGCATTATCTATTACATTTATCTGCTTTTGTGTAATGCCAGTTTTTATTTCTGAAAAATTTTGTATTTCTCTTTCCTGAATTCTTTTTTTTTTTAAAGTATTTTTTTTAATTGATTTTTTACAGAGAGGAAGGGAGAGAGATAGAGTTAGAAACATCAATGAGAGAGAAACATCGACCAGCTGCCTCCTGCACATCTCCTACTGGGGATGTGCCCACAACCCAGGCACATGCCCTTGACCGGAATCGAACCTGGGACCCTTCAGTCCGCAGGCCGACGCTCTATCCACTGAGCCAAACCGGTTTCGGCTCCTTCCTGAATTCTTTTATTTTTTTTGTTCAGTTTTTCTAAGTCACCTATTTTCTAAGTATTTCTAATTCTGATTTATTTACTTTTCATAGATTTTATTATTTTCTTAGTTTGTTTAAAGTCTATTTTGTTGGCATTTCTTCTTCAAGTCCTGGCATTTTCTCCCCGTGTGGGGTTTGTCCTGGCAGGCTTCAATTTACTCGGTACAGGAGTTTATGGGGACCAGACCCCACTATTCCAGCACTGTCAGATTCCCCCAAGGATTTTCCAAAAGACATGTGGGTAAGAAGCCTTAATTTTGGAATAATAGAGCTTTGAGAAGGCAAATAGAATGAAAAAACCCTCGGGGGTCAGTTACATTACCAGCCACTGTGAGGTAAAGTCATGCCTCGCTGGCTTGGGGGCAGGCAGCCAGCGTGACTGCGGCCTTTCTCGCCCAGAGCTCCAGACCTCCAGCGTGAGAGACTTCCCAGGCGGCAACACAGACGCCAGGGCTGGCTGCTTAGGTGAATATCAGTCTCCTAGCCCAGCACAGTGTGCCGATGCCAGAAGACACACCCAGTGTGATGTGATCCGAGACTCAGCTTGCTTAAAGACAAGGCCTTATTTTTGTATAGCACAATTAAAGCTGTTAACGGAACCTGAAAAGCAATCCTTTAGGGTTCAGATCTGTTTCTTCATTTATCAGCTTCCCAGCCCTGTGTAACCCCCCCGCTGTGCCTAAAATACTCTGGTACAAAAATGTACCTATGTAGCAGGTGCTGCTCTTACTTTGTAAAAAGCACCTTCTCGTGTCTCGCACATACACACAGGACTCTGCCCCCGGTTTTCAGAGAGGAAACTAACACTTGGGGGACATGACCTCCCAGGCCCGCGGGCTAGTCCCGCTGCTCTTTTCACACATCCAGCTGCCACCGGATGTCGGGCAGGGCACATGCCCAGCGTGTGCGGCATCTTGTCCTTGCCCGCCGTGCCCGCCTCCCCAAAGGCGAAGCTGTGTGCTCAGGCAGCTCCTCACCGCTCTGCCTGCTGCCCAGGATACTTGGGTTCCTGAACACCCCGATGCCATGCCATGCAGGGTCCGGGGTGGCCTGGGAAGGCAGCCCAGCGAGAGGCCAGAGGCTGGAGGAGGGGAGGCTTGGAAAGAGTGGTAGGAAGGCTGCGAGGTGCCTGGGGCAGTGAGAAGCTTGGGAGCAGGCGGGAAAGGGGAGAAAGGAGGCAGGAAGTGTGGCTGAGGATTCTGACTTCGATCTCTTTTAACATTTTGAGAGATCCAAATCCAAGTTAGTGTGGAGTCTCCACCCCTCTGGCATTTGGGATCAAATCCCATGAGATTGGCCTTGTGGGACCTGGGTTTGTGGAGGCCACTTATCCAAGGTTCAGAATTCCTTAGTATTGACAGAACATCGCTTGGTCCTTAGCCCTGTAACTTGAGGGGATGGTAAAATTATGATCATTAATCTGAACTGTGAGAAACGTGTAAAAGCAGAGAAAAGTGAATGCCTCTATCCTGTCACGGTTGAACGAGCTTTCTCTCCTCAGTTGCGGACTTTGTCGGGCTGGACCCTAGGATTGCGGCTTGGCTCATAGATCCTCGTGAGGCCGCACCCTCTTTTGAGGATTTAGTGGCGAAATCCTTCGGAAACGCCATCACGGTAAAAGTGAGCTGCACGTATGGGAATTCCTCAAGAAATACTGTGGTGAGTTGTTTTCAGATAAGATTTTATCAACTTTAATACAACCCTAACTTTAATCCTCATCTGAGGATATTTTTCCCATTGATGTTTTAGAGAGTGAAAGAGAGGGAAGAGGAGGGGGAGAGAGAAACATTGATGTGAGAGAGACACATCGACTGGTTACCTCCTGCACACTCCCCAACCGAGGGTGGGGGCCAACAGGCAACGGAATGTCCCTTAAATGAGAATTGAACCCGCAACCTTTCAGTCCACAGGCCAATGCACTAACCACTGAGAAAAACCTGCCAGGGCAATACAGCCCTAATTTCTCTACAGAAACTCTTTCTATAGACTTCAGAGTTCGCCCAGCACTAAAAAGAATGTCGCTGCTGTTCGCTTTGACTTAGGCGGCCCAGATGCTTTGTGCCCGGGCGTTTCGGGTAGACGTGAATAAGGACGGCGACTTCTGCTCCTTCGTGAAACTGCTCCTGGGAAAACCATTCGCGGGGTGACCTTCCCAATGGACTCTGGTGTCAGGGAGTTGCCTGCTCTGGGAGCAGAGCTGCTCGTTTATACATTCTTAGTGCTGGTGAGGCAGCAGCTGCGGCAGAGGGCCCGGGCGGCCACTCCGCAGGCCACGGCCGCCTCTGGAGATGCACCCGATAGTGAGGAACTGGAACCGGACAATCAGTGGGTCCGGCTGCTGTCACTACTTGAGCCAATTAAAGCAGAGACAGGGTTGAATTCTATATGAGTGTTTATTCCAAAACTGCCGGCCGCATGGGGAGCAGCAGGTCAGGCACAAAAACCTGCTCTGCCCTCCCCACAAGCCAGCTGCTTATATTGGGTAGAAGGACCAAGATTACCTGGGGAGTAGGCAAAAGGGTGTGCCACGTGGGCAGTTTACAGGTGCCTGGGGGTCTGCAAAGCCTGGGGGGCTGCAAAGGCTGGGGGTCTGCAAAGGGCAGGCGATTCTGGCTTCTGCAAGGTTGTTAATGTTTCCCTGATCACAGGCAGCTCCCGGATGGGGAAGGTGGGCTGCATTTCCAGGTGAGCTCCCAGGTCCCACATGCAACCCCCCAGCCAGGTTAGAATGTGCTTCTTTAATCAGAACAAGACAATCACAGTTAACAGAGCATGATTAACATTTCTTACAATTATAGCTTGTCCCCAATATTCTATTTCTGCCCCTATCAAAAGCACGACTAGAAGAACATGCTGAGGGTTTGGGGGGGTTCGGGGGGAGGCACCGATGTTGAGGTGGCAACCTGGGGAGCAGAGCAGGTGGTGGTGTGAGCCTGCCGTGCCTACCACCCGGAGCCGGGGATGCTCGCTTCCTGCCCTTCATCTCACAGACTGTGTCTCACAGGGGCTGGGTTGAAATACAGAGGCTCACTGTCCCCTAATTAAAAGATTTGTCGGAGGGCTGTTGGGTAGCTCACAGACTCCCTGAGGAAAGCAGACTCAGGCCTTGGGGACAGGAGCCAGGCGGCTCTGAGGACCCAGGGAGCCGGAGCCTCAGGCCGGGCCAGTGAACCCACTCTGTCACGTGTCCCTCTGTCACTGTGTCACAGGTTTGCCCAGTGGAGGGGAGGGAGGGCAGGAGATGAGCAGTCCTCCCAGATCCCATGCTGGCCCCAGACAGAGCTGAGATCCTAGCACTGAGCGTTGTTGTCCACCCCAGGCTCAGTCCCTCTTCCGGGGGAGCGGGGTACAGGAAGGTCAGCGCAGATGCCTCGCCCGGGGTCGGGGAGGCCACGGTTCACAGCGGGGATCTCGGACCCTCGGGTCTGGGTTCCTTGTCGTATAAGGAATGAGTTGGGGAGGGAGTGGCTGCGGGAACAGAGCGCCAGCCCAGGGGGCCTGCCTTTCCCTGACCCGCTGTGGGCTGGTCCTCTCAGCCCCCCAGCCTGTGGCCCGCACCCTCCAGTCCCACCCGGAGCTCCCCCAGGCCTCACCCGCACCAGCCCCTCAGGAGCTGCCTTGTCCTATTGTCCAGCCCGCGGCCACTGTGGAGCCTGCACTGCTCGCAGGTGGGGCGAGGCGGAGCTGCTCTGAGGGGCTGTGACAGCTCAGGGAGTGTCAGGGGCGGGACAGCTGTGGGGGGGGGGGTGTCAGGAATCAGGAGAGGAGCGGCTCCTGGAGGGGAGCAGCAGGGTCCCAGGGAGGAGGAGAGGGAGGAGGAGGAGGAGGAGGAGGAGGAGGAGGAAGTGTAGGAGCTGGGCCCCCATGGAGCTGGAGCTGGTCCGAGAGCTTCGGGTTGGGAACTGCTCGGAGAGGGAGCCCTGGTCAGCATGCCGTGTAGACGCTCATGCGGGCAGCAGTGTGGCCACCTGCCAGGCGGTGGCTGAGAAGTGGTCATGAAAGCACTCCTAGTGCTCCCACCCAGTCGTAACCCAGCCCTGCCTCATCTACCGTGGGGCCCAGACCAGAGAGACCAGGCCAACCCACCCAGCGTCTAGGCGGCAGGAAGGAGAATTAGACAGGTGGGGGCGCTGTGGCTCATCCCACCAGCCTGTTTGTCAGTTGAACACAGACTCTGTCCCCCTCCCGGGCTCCTGTGTGTGGTCCCGGGTGAGAATGGCAGGAACTGGATGGCGGCATGGCTCCTCTGCTCCCTCTGCTCCCTCGTGGGGGCTGGAGGTGTGGGAGCCCGAGGCCAGACCGCGTCCTCCTGTCTCTGCCACCCAGTACTCCTCACATGTTGGGCTTCCTTGTGGCTCATGCCTCTGGGATGAGGGGGAGATTGGGTTGAGGAGAAAGTGTCCAGTGGCCAGAAGCTTGCATTGGCCCAATAGGAAGTGCGTTCCTCAGCATGGGACCCGTCTACTTGGAGTCATTGGTGGGTGACGCCACAGATGTGTGACAGCTGCCAGCAAGCATTCCCGTGGGTTGTGTTACTTCCTAGATTGTGCCAATCATTTCGGCCAAGGTTGCCTAATTTTTCATTCTTTTGATCTTTTACAGAATCAGAATGTATGTGCGAACCTGAGGGTCCTCCACAGGCTTACGATGGACCTCTGTTCCCAGCTGAAGGCAAGCGTGTTGTAGCTTCTGGGGCGGCGCTCTGCCCACTGCCGTCCACTGCCTGGCATTTGCACCCACACGCGCAGGAGCAGTGCCCGCGTGTGGGATGTGCAGCAAATGACGCTGAGTCCTGAGGCCACATTCCCCTCCTTCCCTCAGGAAACGGTAGTCCAGCTGATGAGACCTGACGTTCCTGAATGTTCTCTGTGGGTCCACAGCAACTGTAGCATTTCTAGTGCTGCGGTGAACGTGGCAATGGAAGACTAAAAGTCCATAAATGCCAGATCACATAAAAATGAGAAAGATGAAGGGGAGTGGGGAGTGGGCGTGTCCTCCTGTTTCTCACGGTCCCAGCAGGTCTGGGCGATACAGTAGGACACCAGAGGGGGAGGGGCTTTGCCAGGAGGGGCCGCGAGAGGGGGCTCCTGGGTGGGAGGCAGCCCGTCCGCTGAGGAGGAGCCCGGTGCGCTTAGCGAGGCGGGAGGCCGCTGAGCGACGTGCAGCCTCCATAGCAAGAATGTTTCCTCCTGTGAGACAGGCTTACGGTTTATGGCAGCTGTTTTGTACCTTGGAGCTTCCTCTGATACCCATTTTGGCAGGTAAGCCACCTGAAGCTGATGCACAGTCATCTCTCTAGAGAAAGTGCACTAGTGAAGTTCTTAACATTGTGTGGGGACGACTGTTTCTCTCTCAGCTTATTTCAGGGCAGGCAAGGGTCACACGGCCCTGACGAGGTGGCCGGCCCTTTATTTCCCTTTCTGTAAGGAGGGCTTGGACCGCATCACCTCTGGTGTAGAGGGACCAGGCGGGTCTGACGTCCGGTCCAATGGGTCTCTTGTATTGTCTGGATCTGGGTGCCCTGGCCCAGGGACCACTGCCTTCCTGAGTCCCTCGCTCCTGAGAGCAGCCTCATGGGGCGGAGCCTGCATGTCAGTAGTTGTGCGGTCCTGGGGTGCTGTCCTTTAACCCTGCATGAGAACCCCCTAGAGCAGGGGTGGGGAATGTCCGGCCCGCGGGCCGTAGAAGGCCCATGAAATCATTTGGTCTGGCCCTGCATTGAAGATCAGTTAATTACTAGTAAATGTTTGACCGAATAAGCAGGCTAACTTTTTTTTTTAAAATATGTTTTATTGATTTTTTACAGAGAGGAAGGGAGAGAGATAGAGAGTTAGAAACATCGATGAGAGAGAAACATCGATCAGCTGCCTCCCGCACATCTCCTACTGGGGATGTGCCCGCAACCCAGGTACATGCCCTTGACCGGAATCGAACCTGGGACCTTCCAGTCCGCAGGCCGACGCTCTATCCACTGAGCCAAACCGGTTTTGGCGAGCAGGCTAACTTTTAAGTTGATAATTTTGTGTGGCCCAGGAATGATGTTATAAATATCCACATGGCCCTTGGCAGGAAAAGGGTTCCCCACCCCTGCCCCGGGGATCTGCGGCAGGCTCTCCTCTGCGCAGGCCCTGCTGGGGAGCAGAGCAGAGCCTCGCCTAGCGCCCTCGGGCAGCTTTCCATCCAGCGCGTGTCCCACGCCCACTGCCACCACTGCTGGCCCTAAGGGACACTTGCGGAGTGTGCTTGCAGCCGGCGCTGGCATCACTGCCCTCTTCAGGGATGCGGCTCGCTCCCTGCCCCGCGTCTCACAGACGAGTCACTGACGCAGATGCTTTTGCTTTGGTTTGGGACCCAGTGATGGAAAGCCACAGCATTCGGGTGGACAAGGAAGCCTTGGAGAGGACCTCCGCGCTCCTCGGGGTACGTCGCTGGGAGACCCTCTGCATGTTGCTCCGCTTCTTGACCAGCTGCTCCCCAGGCGCAGGGCAGCTCCCCTTCGCTTCCAGCCCCCGGCTGAGTGCTCCTCTCTGACCGCAGAGTGCTGCCGGGCCGGCTGAACACACACTGCATCTGGTTGCTCCCCTGAGAGGCTGTGCCCCGGCTCCATGGGCCCTCAGCCACCTTCTCAAGCGAGGTTCTTGCAAGGACATTGCCCCCTATAGTTTGGTGGGGGGAAGTCATGGGTTTCTTGGATTCTTTAAAAAGGAAAAACACAAGGTCTAACTGAACAATACAAAAATACAGAGGAGTGCATGATGATGCATAAAAAAGTGTTCCACTTCAGTTCTTTTAAAAAAAAAACACATTTTTATTGATTTCAGAGAGGAAGGGAGAGAGGGAAAGAGAGAGAAATATCAATGAGAGACAATCATGGATCAGCTGCCTCCTGCATGCCCCCTACTGGGGACAGAGCCTGCAACCCCGGCATGTGCCTTTGACGGAATCGAACCCAGGACCCTTCAGTCCGCAGGCTGACGCTCTATCCACTGAGCAAACCGGCTAGGGCTCCACTTCAGTTCTTTTTATTTATATATTAATCCTCCCCCCATGATATGTTCTTACTGATTTTTTTTAAAATATATTTTATTGATTTTTCACAGAGAAGAAGGGAGAGGGATAGAGAGTTAGAAACATCGATGAGAGAGATCGATCAGCTGCCTCCTGCACGCCCCCCACTGGGGATGTGCTCGCGACCAAGGCACATGCCCTTGACCGGAATCGAACCTGGGACCTTTCAGTCCGCAGGCCGACGCTCTATCCACTGAGCCAAACCGGTTCGGCACTTACTGATTTTAGAGAGAGGGAAGGGGGAGAGAGAAACATCTATCAGTTGCTTCCCCGGATACTCACCCCTACCGGGGGTCGAACCCGAAACCCAGGTATGTATCCTGACCGGGAATCGAACCCGAGATGTTTTGGTGTATGGGATGACGCTCTGACCCACTGAGCCACCGGCCAGGGCCCCGTTCTTTTAAAGAAAACTGTTTATTTGGATATCCTGAAGATAGTGTGGAGCATTGAGATTAATCATGGGAAACATCAATACTAAATTCTAATTAGGAGGCTTGCTTAAGTGAGCGGACAGCTGTTTGGCAAAGAGTTTGCTGACCCAGCAGACTCCGTTCCGCTCTTGCTGGAAAAGCATTGGCCTGGACGTTTCTGGCTTCTTACTGGCTGTACCAGGAACAGAGCGCCCGTGTTCCCCTGCCTATTTGAATATAGACCGTAGGTGTTAGAGGCTGCTCGGCTCTCCTATGGAGTGTTTGGTATTGGAAACAATAACATTTAATGTGCAAAACACACAAAACACAGAAACCTCGGGGATGACTGTCTTCTCGGTCAAAGCACAGACCTCTTAGAAGCCCTGGGTGCCCTTTCCCGTCAGAGCGCTGGCTGCTGCCCAGCGTCGCTCCTCCGGACATTTGCCGCCATCACAGTGTGCTGCTCTGTGCAGGCTGTCCAGCGCGCCCGAGCACTGTGCTTGGCTGCCTCTGAACGGCAGGTAATGGCCGTGCCCGACGGCTTTCACGCAGCAGCCCTGCGCCACTCGGTGCTGTGGTCCCCGTGCCGGTCTGCCTGCTGCTGCTGGGCATGGGGTTTGCAGTCATTGCCAACCGCGATGCCCCCTTGAGTGTGTCCCTGGGGCATAAAGCAGGGGCTGCCGGGCGCCGGGGCACCGAGATGGCACTGCTCAGCTCACTGCGTTCCAGCGTCTCGCCCGCCAGGGCACACAGGCCTGTCGCTGCGCATCCTCTCCCGCCTGGGACCTCGGGCTTTATAGCAGACGTTTTGGGGAGGATGTAATACCGCGTGACGATTTTGGTTTCTATGTTTCTGACGATTGACGAGGTTGGACAGCTTCTCGTATCACCAGCAGCTGTTCGGAGTTTCTCTTTGGTGAAGGATCTGGCCGAGTTTCCCACCCATTTGTGTACTGAGGTTTTGTCTTTCTCACTGATTAACAGGACATCTTGGTATATTCTGGTTACAAGCTGGGGACTTACTCTTTCACTCACATGATGGTGTCTTTTGATGACAGACGTTCTTAATGTAATTTCAGCCCTTTTTCTTTATGACTAGTGCTTTCTGCATCCGTTTAAGAGATCTTTCCTTACTGCAAGCTCATGAAGTATTCTCATGTGTTATATTTTCATTCGCCGTTGCATTTAGGTTTATAAAATACACCTGGAACTTATTTTTCTTTTTATGGACTTTTAAATTAAGAAATAAATTTCAGCCCTAGCTTGTTTGGCTCAGTGGATAGAGCATCGACCTGTGGACTGAAGGGTCCCAGGTTCGATTCTGGTCAGGGCACATGCCTGGATTGTGGGCTCGATCCCTAGTAGGGGGTGTGCAGGAGGCAGCCGATCAATGATTCTCTCTCATCATTGATGTTTCTATCCCTCTCCCTTCCTCTCTGAAAAATATATTTTTAAAAAAATAATGAATTAAAGAAAAGAAATAAATTACATATTGTGAATGGTACAAATCTTTTTTATTTATTGTGATAAAATACACTTAACATAAATTTTCTCACTTCAAGTATTTCTAACACCACAGCTCAGTGGTGTTACATACACTCACATGGTGCACAGCCCGCCAGCCATCCCCATAACTGCTTTCATCTGGTGAAATTGAAACTGTTCCCATTAAACACTAACTCCCTCTGCTCCCTTCCCCTAGAGGGGTCCGTGCGCCCCTGGTCACCACCACCCACTCTCTGTCTCTATAATTGTGACGCCTGTGAAGTATTTTGTGTAAGAGGAATCAGTTAGCCCTTTTGTGAATGGCTGATTTCACTGCGTAGAGCATCCTTGAGGTTTATCCACGTTGTAGCACGTGGCAGGGCTTCCTTCCTTTCTGAGGCTGAAGAATACCCCATGGTAGACACGTACGCACTTTCTGTAACCGACATCAGTCAGTGGCTGCAAGCTGCTTGGGTGGCGCCCACGTTTACTGGTGGGAATCACGCTGCTGTGAACAGGGGCACACGGATCCCCTCTTTGGAGCATGCGCCCAGAAATGAACGGCGCGATCTTGTGGTCATTGTCTTCAGTTTTCTGAGGAGCTACCGTGCATTTTTCACAGGGTATAAGGGTTCCAGTGTCCCCACACCCTCGCCAACCCCGTGGTCTCTGTTCTTTTATAGCAGCCACCCTAAGCATGTGAGGTGGGTCTCATTGTAGTTTTGATTGTCATTTCACTACTTATTCGTGATGTTGTGAATCTTTTCATGTGATTATTGGCCATTCGTATATTTTCTTTGGGAAAAGGTCTATTCAACTTTTGCCCATTTTTAATTGGATTGTTTGTTCCTTTTTGCATTGAGTTTTAAGAGTTGTCTATGTATTCTGTGTACTAATCCTTTATCAGATATATGACTTGGAAATACTTTCTCCCACTCTATGGGTCGCCTTTTTACTCTGTTGAGAGTATCCTTTGTGCTTCCTACTCTGCCGCGTTCCCAGGCTCCCCTTGGTGCAAATCTTGTTGTTTTTTCTTTCTTTTTTTTTTTCCGTTGGTGCACATCTTAATGTACAGCTTGATGTATGTGTCCATATACACCCCAGTTGCATCCGCAAGAGGCAACCGCTGTTCTGACCTCTGCTGCCATATCTGGTGTGACCCCTTCTAGAGCTCCGTGGGGTGGGGTCGGACAGTGCGCTCTCTTTGTGTCCTTCGCTTAGCACCATGTTCTGAGGTCCGTCTGTTGTTTGTGTGCTGGTAGTTTGTTTCTTTATGTTGCTGAGTGCTACTCCATTGTGTGAATGTGCAACAATGTGTTTACTCTTCTGTGGATAGATCTGAGTTAGTTTTAGGTTTTACTGTTATAGACATTTTTATAAAGATGTGCATTGCAATGTTATTTATACAGCTAAAAACTAAAACTTCCTTACAGGGTCAACAGTAGAGGGACGGTTAGACAAGTGGTAACATAACAGTGCAGTAGAAATCATGTCACCATTCACAGTTACGCTTGCTAACATTGTGGGATAGAAAGTACTTAGAATGTTAAGAGGGAGAAATAAAGTGCAAAATTGTCTTGTACAGTAGTCCCCCCTTATCCAGTTTCGCTTCCCGCGGGTTCAGTTGCCTAAAGTTAATTATGGTTTGAAAATGGGAAATTTCAGAAATAAACTACTCGTAAGTTTTAAGTTGCACACTGTTCTGAGGGCTGTGATGAGGTCCTTTGCTGTCCTGCTCCCGTCCTCCTGGGACATGAATCGCCCTTTGCCCAGCGTGCCCACGCCACATCTAGGCCTGCCTGTCGGTCACTCAGTAGCCGTCTCAGGTACCAGGTGGATGGCTGGGGCATTGCGGTGCTTGGGTTAAAGTTGCCCTTATTTTACTTAATTATGGCCCCAAAGCACAAGAGTGGTGATGCTGCCGGTAGATAAAGCCAGAAAGTGTTTTCCTCCGTGAAGAGTGAGGCCAGTGCAGTGATGGGAGAGCCCACATCCACAGGACTTTTATGCCAGGATGTTGTTATAATTGTTCTGTGTGCTGTTAGCTATTGCTGTGTGCCTGATTTACAAGTTAAACTTCATCAGAGGTGTGGATGTATAGGAAAAAACATAGTATCCGTGGGGCTCAGTGCTATCCGCGGTCTCAGGCATCCATGGGGTCTCGGAGCACCCCCCCCCCCCCCGTGCATAAGGGGGGGGACTACAGGGTCTTTGTCATAAATCAGGTCCCTGTGCGTGTGGGGGTCTTTCCTGGACTCGATTCTGTTCTCGTTGGTGTGTCTGTCCTTGTGCTAACATTCCCCTGGTCTATTACTGGAGCTTTACAATATGCGTGATATCCTACAGTATGTCATTCTTCCACACATATTGGCTATTCTAGGTTCTTTGCATTTTCATATAAAATTCTTCAATTTGCTTTTAAAAATACTGCTCGGATTTTTATTCTGTTTCCAATGTGTGTGACAAAGAGTAATATACAGAGTATGTAGAGAACTCCTATCAATAAGAAAAGCCCTGCCCTGGCCGGTTTGACTGAGTGGATAGAGCATCAGCCTGCAGACTGAGGGGTCACAGGTTCGATTCCGGTCAAGGGCATGTACCTCAGTTGCAGGCTTGATTGATCCCCAGTCCTGGGCTGTTTCTCTCTCTCTCTCCCCTCCTCTCTTCCATTCTCTCTAATCAATAATGGAAAAATATCCTTGGGTGAGGATTAACTAATAAATAAATTAATTAAAATTAGAAAAAATGGTTTAAAGAAAATGGTTGTCACAATTGTTAAAATGAGCTACATATTTGGGGGGGAAATCTAGTGAAAGATGGACATTTCAACCCTGAGGTCGCGAGGCCAGCACAAGCACATAGCTGAGCGCTACCCAAATTGCTGATCCCCAGAAATGCGAGCAGACACCACGGTGGTGTTTAGGGGTGTTTTGTTATGCGGCAGCAGGAAGCCAATACCGCCTACCCCGGCTTCCTCCCACGAGGGAGCACTTTCAGGGCCCGTTTCATAGCAGGACCCGGCCTCCAGCGGGCTGCTGGCTCCTGCGCGCCCAGCTGGGCTCTGCCTCCGCGCCCGCTCCCCCGCTTGGCCGATGCTTTGTAGTTCTCATGTGTCTCTGCCATGAGGAGATGTTTATGTTTTGTTTTGCCTGAAGCTGTCAGTCTTTCTGTCTCTCTCTGTTTATACTCACCCATCACTGCGTGTGCTTAAACACAAGGAGTGCGCTCGTGCGCCGAATGAACGGGAAGCTCACACTCTCCCTCCGTTTTTTGAGATCAAACCATTTATGACTGTGTTTTTGTTTCCTAAGGTCTGACTTATTCCTCAGGGGACCCATCGTCTGTCTCTTAATGCTTTGTTCCTTGTTTTTTAAATCATTTGTTTCTTTAACTCGGAGTTTTGGCATCTTTAACTGAGGCCGTTGTTCCTGGGTTCTTTGTTTAGCTGAGATGTTACTTTTTTATGTTATACGTGTCCCGCTCCTAGTTTTTCTGGCCCCTATTTGTAAACTTCTTAGAAATGCCCACCTAACGGCAGTTCTAAAGAGTAGAACGTGGACGATACTAAACCAGAACTGGTTGATTTGACTCGGCTCTCTTTTTCCTTTTACAACAATTTTTTGTTAAGTCCTGGCCTTCTTCTACTTTTCTTCTGACCAGGATGGTGAGGGGAAAGGGTTTGTAAATGCAGCAGGTCCCGTGGCTCTGCTCGGCCCAGCGCTGTCTCTATCGGCCGCGCCGTCTCTTGGTCTCTCCGTGGCTGCCGTCTCTGTGCTCACTGTGGCCGTGCAGCTGGGCCTGGAGTCTCTGCCGTGGGACACGCAGGGGTTCTGATGCTTATAATGGGATGCTGGACCCCTTTCTAGTCAGAACGCTGCTGGAGAATTCATTCTTTCCCTCCCTCGTTTTGGTGAATTTTTTTAAACTGTTTTTGCTTCTTTCCGTTTGTTTCCTTAGGTTTAGAGGGATCCTGTGAGCCTGGGTATCCCACCATGAGTCAAAATATGTATTTTTAGTGTCCAAAATATGCGTTTGTATCCTTATAAGGGCTTTTGTTGGGAACTGTTCGGTGAACAAATCAAACCATCTTAAACTGCTAATGAGATTGTGTTTATCACGTTCACAGTCTCGTCTCAAGGAATTGGAGCAGGAAGCCCACTTCGTGGCAGGAGAGCAGTTCCTCATAACCAGCAGCGATCAGCTTCGAGAGGTACAGCTGCATTCTGGTTCTTCTATAAAACAAGCTTCTTATTCAGGGGTGAAGGGAGATTTGTCCTGAACTTATATGGAAGTTCATGTTCTCTCACAATGAGAGTCATTCCTTTAGAGCAGCGGTTCTCAACCTGTGGGTCGCGACCCCTTTAGCGGTTGAACGACCCTTTCACAGGGGTCGCCTAAGACCATCCTGCATATCAGATGTTTACATGATGATTCATCACAGTAGCAACATTACAGTTATGAAGTAGCAATGAAAATAATTTTATGGTTGGGTCACAACATGAGGAACTGTATTTAAAGGGCCAGAAGGTTGAGAACCACTGCCTTAGAGCAAGGTATTGGAAACTTACAGAGACCTGGTGGCCCGGCCTGTGGCCCTGTCTCTACGAGGGCGTCACTTTCTGTGTCTGAGCGGCGGCCTGGGCTTCCCTGCTGCTGGGAGCCATGCCGGGGATGTGCCCTCGTGGCTTGAATGCTTTTCAGGGGGTCCCCTTTTCCTCTCAGTGTGGCCGGCTCTCTGACCAACCACTGGCACCTAAGCCACCGGAAGGCGGTGTCAGATGTGACCTGAGCAGAAAGCAATGCAAACTTGCGACCGAAGCCTAAGCTGGTAATTCATTTCACCCGCTTTCGGGTTAGCCTGGAGGCGAAAGGGGCTTAAGAAAACATTGAAAAAATTAAAATGTGAGATGAGTCTTTTCTTCTGAGCCACAAGCTAAAGGGGTCGTTTCTAAATCTGGCCGGTGTGGCAAGTACGCGGCCTGAAGAGGGAGAGAGACAGCAGGGCCGCCGGCTTCTTCTCCGGCGCAACATCGCTCATGTGGCAGTGAGGCTGGCTACCTGAGGACGTAAAGCAGCCCACTTTGTGGGCACCTGGTGCTTCAGAGGAGCTGAGGGAAGTCATTGTAAATTAAAACAAATGGTGGCCCGGCCGGCGTGGCTCAGGGGTTGAGCATCAACCTATG